AGCTGCTACAACACTCCTCAAATTTCTCCATTAACCACCCGAAATCATTCCGAGGCCCCCGGGACCTTAACCAAAAGCACCAATAACACCTAATACCTCATTCAAACTTGTACCAATCCTTAAACCACCTAAAACAGCGCCAGAAACTTGAATTAATCAATGATTTGAGCCTAAGAACTTCAAATTCCATCAAAATACATTTTCGATAAAAAACCTAACCAAAACACGTCCGAATGACCTGAAATTTTGCTCACACATCCCAAATGACACAACGGAGCTACTACAACTTTCGGAATTCCATTTCGGCCGTCGGATCAAAAATTCACTATCGGACCGGAAACTCCAAAAATTCAACCTTCGGCATTTCAAGCCTAAATGAGCTACGGACTTCCAAAATACATTCCGAACATGCTCCCAACCCCGAAATCACCTAACGGAGCTAACGAAACCATCAGATTTCCATTCCGAGGTCGTCTTCACACTGTTCCGACTACGGACCACTTTTCAACACTTAAGCTCTCATTTAGGGACTAAGTGTCCCAAAACTCTCCGAAACTCAACACCGAACATCCCGACAAACCAATAGCAGAACTGAAGTTAGGGGAAGCAGTTAATAGGGGATCGGGGAATAAATTCTTAAGACTAACGGCCGGGTCATCACCAAATATTAAGATCCGTCTTTCTCCCAACACAAGAAAAGTTACTCCATACCGGAACTAGTACTAACAATGGAAATATTCTTGTCCATTAAATAAGAAAATAGAAAGAAATATTCAAGAAGAATAATTTCCCCTATTTAATTAAAAGCAGAAACTAGAGTAATTTCCTACACTGGAATTTATTTAGAAACAACAACTAAACCACTATTGTGATTTAAAAGAAAAGATAACTCGATACTAGTAAAAGAAATAAAATAGAGAAGCTTATTAAGAATTTGGATTCAGACTTCTAGCTCTAAGCTTTCTCTCTACTGTGTTGCCTTTCTCTGATCGAGCAACATCTTCTTATATAAGAAAGATTCATGATGACGTCTGGATTTGGTACTAGATTTCCATGGCAAATCTAGATTTTCAGTTGCAGATATGAGAATTCATCATTCTAAGTTTAGATTTCGTCGATTTCATCATGACAAATCTAGATTTTGCATTTGCAGATATGAGAATTTGAATTCTCGATTTGGTGCTAGATTTCAATGGCAAATCAAGATTTTAATTCATTGAGAGATGAGAATTCTGCAATTCTAAGTTTAGATTTCATCATGGCAAATCGAGACTTGGTGCATTGTCAAGACAGTAATGACTCGTAGCTCAATTTCACACTTCTCGGTTGTATTTTTCTTCATGCTGCGCACATAATTCTTCTATAATTATTCCTGCAAAATAAAGTTAAGAATATGGAGGAAACATGATAATTTATATGTTTTTATGAGAGAAATTATGTGGTTAAGATCAGGTAAAATGCACTTATCACCGTGCTTACCCTTTGTTCCTTCATCGAGAAATCAGGGAAAGCTATCCCCCGATTATCCGTATAGAGATAGTCCCCTCGTTTTTCGGAGAGTAGATTTATTGAAGCAACGGGAAAACATAAATTTACCCTGGTTCCTTCTTTCGTACGCTACAACCGAGTTGACAGGTCAGCAAATTGTCCCATCATTCGCGTTGTTCTGACTTCGGACATGTGTCAGCCACCTGTTGAGCGTCCTCGAATGCGAAACGTCAGGCATTGATTATCCTTTCTCTATAAAAGCTTCGACCCCTTTTTCCCCTTTTACTTTCCGATTCCTCAAATTCTTCACTTATTTCAAACCCCTTCAAACCTTCATCCATTGTTTTTCTAGATCTTCATATTTTTACCTTTAAAAGTTCATACTCCTTCTTCAAATCTTCAAGTCAGACCTTCATCTCTATCTTCAAATCTTCATCCTCATCTTCAAACCTTCATCTTTACCTTCAAACCTTCATATTTTTCAGAATTCGATGGCAAAAACTTCCAAATCCGTGCCCCAGCATACCGCCCCTTCAACTTCCAACCCAGCCACGGGTGCCAAGGTAACCGTTCCTGAAGTGACCCCGATGCCCCCCCCTGAAGAGCTTCATCCCTGGGGGCTGTTCTATTAAAAATGACTTCAAAGTTGAGAAGGCCTCCAGTCAACAGGACCAAGGAGTAGGAGTATGGAGATACATATGCTCCGTTACTAAGGACACACTCCCCACAGTTTGGGTGGACTGCAACTGGGAGGGCAAGGAAGTGGTCGTCCCGGGGCCCAACGAAGACATCACTACTCACGTGGAAGGGTATATAAGTATTTACACTTATCCCTTCACGCTCGTGCCGGTGGACCCTATAATTCTTGGTTTCTACAAAAGGTACGAGGTCAACCTTGGGCAAATTCATCTGTCCTTTTGGAGGATCGTAATCCTCTTCAGCCACTTTATCAACAAACACTGAAGCACCTCAATTCACCCTGGACTACATGCTTCGTCTCTACAGTCCCCAAGTCTTCTGATGGGGGTTGATCAAGCTCGTTCGTCGAGCAACTAAAGCTCCATTCTCAAGCATCGATGAAGATCGAGATTGGGGTTGGCAGGGGAGGTTCGTTCGGGTGAAAACCGAAGACCTCATTCCCCCTAATTCTTACCGTTCCCTGAAAAGTGGAACTTATCTCGTAAGTTTTGTCACTTCCTTGAGTACTTGGCATGCCTTTTATTATTTTTCTAATTGTCTGTGTCTACCATTGTACCATTGTGCAGCAGTCGCCCAAGTTCTCAATGCAGTCCCCCGCTTCAATGAGTGGATCGAGGGGATCTGCAAATAAATGTCTTACTTTGAGCGCGAATGGCGCACACTTTCAAAGGGCAGTTGGGAGGCCCGTTCCCATGGTGAGTCCTCCTCCCGTACAATTCAGTTCCATACTTAACTTCCATTCTGCTAAGTCTTTTTCCCCTTCACAGGTTTGTCCAAGACCACTGAGCTTTGGCCATTGGATGGGGAGAAGGCCCTGTCATTGCTTGCTGACTCCACTTCGAGGTAGCCCGGAGCTGCTGCAAAGGAGGAGATAAAGAAGAAAAAGAGGAAATCCTCTGGCTCCCCGAACGCCGAGGTATAGAAGAAGAGGGTAGTTGTCCGGGTTTGGAAAAGCAATAAAAAGAGTACCAAAGCTAGGGTACTGGACCGCGATTCCCTCTTTTGGCTCAGGGATTACCCTGAGGACGATGATCTGGAGTTTATTGCTCGTGGGTCAACCATTGACGATGCAGAACAGGTGGCACCCAGGGAAGGTGGTCGAGAAGCCAATTTCCCTTTGGCTCGGGAGCCAGAAGGAGAATCAGAGGCCACGACCTCCCGAGAAACCGCCCCCGTGCGGAAGTAAGTAGCCGATGTCATTGACATCGCAGAGTCGCTGTCTCATACAGAGTCTATGTTCGACGAGGCTCAAGACGGCAAAGAGAAATCAAATGAGACGGCACGGGGCGCAGACGAGCCCCTCAAAATGTTTTTCGATGGCATGGACATGGGCGCATTCGAGGATTACTCTGGGCTTTGTCACCTAGAGGTCCCAAAAAAGAACGTGCCTTCGGGAGCATGCAAGTCGAGCTCGAGCCTGAAGCTGGTGACAGAGTTCCCTGCTCCGAGTGTGGATCCCGACCGTAAAAGAATAGCCATGCTTACTATCCCAACGAACACCGGATGCTGTCCGCTCCGGTGGGTGTGGCTAGCTATCTTCACTGCCTGGTGACTGAGGAGGGCCACGAAAAAATGAACGAAGTAGGCACATCGAGCCTTTTCTACGAGTCACAACAGGCACTGAACCAAGTAAGCTTCCTATTCCTTGTACCTTTTGCGAATCTTGCTTTGTCTCATCAGGTACTAACAATCTTATCGTTTTGTTTTTCAGGCTTCGGTGCTCCACCATGAAAACTTCCTTCGGTCTCGAATGGAAGTCAGCCAGCTCGAGTTCGAGCTCAAAGAGCATGTCCGGAAGAAGGACATGTATAGAGTCTTAGTGAACAATAAGATGAGGCCTCCTTCTCTAACTATTTACCCCCAAAATGAGTAACAATTAAATTTGTATGCGGTTTAAAGGATACATGATTTAATTCAATACAAATAATTAAGAACAACAAGTAGATGAGTTAAAATACAAAATAAATGATCAAACCAATCACAATGTAATGACCAAGCCTGATCTTAGATTGAACAGTAGAATTCGTCCTCGATTGGACACTCGATTCAAACTCGGTCGCGAGTGAAGAAAATAACAAATGAATGATGCCTTGAACAATAGCTAGAAGACAAAAGTAAACTTTTATTGCTTCGAGTTGCTTGTTACAATGTGCCAGAATAAAGAAAACCTTCCCTTTTATATAGTAGGAGAATTCCAGTCCTAGTACCAATCTAAAAAAAATTAAAAATCTTCTTTTTCTGGTAAATGTTGATCAACAATTGATATTGAACGGGATTCGTGCCGTAATATCCGGTTGAGGGCGAATATTATGGCTTCCTGCTCGTCATGCATAACTGTTCACTGCCTCTCCCGAGGTCCAGAAGCTATACTTGGCCCGGACCCGTAATTTCACTCTGTCCGATCTCAATTGCGTCATTCATCCTTGTGGGTTTCTATACGAGGAGCTCCTGGCTTCGATTATAATCAATTCGAGTCGTGCTTACCCTTTGTTCCTTTATTGGGAAAATCGGGGAAAGCTATTTCCCAATTTTACCCGTACACAAGTACAATACATATTCATGTTACGTGTTAACTAGGAGTATTGCATTAGAAGAATAGAAAATATGCTAGTAAAAAAATAATCAGATAAGAACGTCAAACAATAAGAAACTAAAAAAATTCCAAGGAAGTGGCCAACCTTCAATGTCTAAAGTCCAACGACGGATAGGAAAGATTTGGAAGCAAATAGTAACAGACAAGTACAAGCCAGGTCACTACATTTTAGTTTTTGAATCAAACTTTATATTTGTCATTTTTTGGCAGTGAAACTAGAAACCTTGATACATATCTGTTAACTCCTAGATTACGTGTTCAATCATCTCTCCTTCCTTCCCTGTTCATCAATCTTCAAAATTTCTATAAATCATTTCCAACCTCTCTCAGGATCCCAACTTTTCAAAATCGCATTGCAATTCAAACCTCGATTTTCCCTTCTGTCAGATTCTCACTTTCACTTTATAATTTTCTCTTTACTATAATTTGAAATTACGCGGGAAGAGATTTATCTTGGTGTCTTCTGCAAATATGATTCAAAGGGCTGCATGCTTTCGCAGATTGTTTAAATCTTCAGCTTTGCCTTCAAAGGTCTGTCATTTGATCCAAGAAACCATATTTTGTCTTTCTGTTCATTGGGTTTGTTAACAACGTGTTAAATTTAAAGTATATAAAAAAGAAAAGTTTCATATAAAGTGTTGAGTCAGATTTAATATTTTGATGCATTTTAAAAAAAAAAAATACTATGGTCTTAACCCAAATTTAATAATATAACACTATGTTAAAAGTGTCATTGGAGTGATTAGCTTTACTCGTTTCAGAGCCGTTGGACTTAGGTAGGTCAGAAAAAAAATGAAAGATTCATATAAACATGTCAGAAAAATGTGACCACCAAAAGATGTGGTGCAGTGGATGGTACTGCTGTTCCCTTAACCAGAGGTCTCGAGTTTGAGCTCTGGGTATGGAAAAAACCTTGGTAGGGAGAGCTTGCCACGGATGGGGCCCCGCGGCCCGAAGCCGGATATAGGTAGCGAGCGCTTGTCCCGGATGGGCCCCGCGGCCCAAAGCCGAATATAGTCGGGTATCCATGCGGTACCGGACACTGAGTGGGAAACCAAAAAAAAAAAGCCAGAAAATGTGAACCTTATGTCCAATCAACTCATCAGAGACCTCTGCTTGTGTTTGTAGGTTGAATTTAGATACTACACGGCTCAGGCGGCAACTTCTTTACGACCTTCTGTTTACAGGTACATTGCCATTTCATATGGTCGGAAAATTACTCATACTTGTATTCATTTTGGAAATTTGGAGCCAAGATAGGCCTTGTCTAATATTGGGACTTGGTCACTTTTCAAATTATCAGTGATGATGAGATTGCTGATGTCGATTGGGACAATCTTGGATTCGGCTTAATACCAACTGATTTTATGTATGTGACAAAAAGCACTGAAGATGGGCATTTCGAACAAGGCCAACTTAATCGCTATGAGAATATCCAATTGAGCCCCTCTGCTGGTGTCTTAAATTATGGACAAGTAATTCTTCAATCTGAAATCTATTTTACAAAATTGTGAAATCTATTTTACAAAATTGTGTTATTCAAACAGGGGCTGTTTGAAGGAACAAAAGCCTATAAAAGAGATAATGGACGCCTGTTTCTATTCCGTCCTCATTTGAATGCAATCAGAATGCAGATTGGAGCTGAAAGAATGTGTATGCCCTGTCCTTCCACAGATCAATTTGTCGACGCTGTGAAACAAATTGCTCTAGCTAACAAGCGATGGGTAATCATTTTTTTAAATCATTCAATCATATGTTTATTAATTAATTGCCAACAGCAATATTTTTCTTTTTGTGTATTGAACACGAGCAGGTTCCTCCTCCTGGAAAAGGATCTCTATATATTAGGCCTTTGCTTTTTGGAAGTGGACCTGTACTCGGATTGGCTCCAGCACCTGAGTACACTTTCCTTGTTTATGCTTCCCCTGTGGGAAACTATTTCAAGGTTGACATTTTCTTTTTCTTTGATATCTCTGTACCTACTTGAACAAAGAAAAAGGTCATCGCTCAATCGCTAGGATCTTTTGAAACAGGAAGGAACAGCACCATTGAAGTTGATTGTCGAGGAAGATTTTCATCGTGCCTCACGTGGTGGAGCTGGTGGAGTCAAAAGCATTACTAACTATGCCCCTGTAAGCTGTCCATGTTCTTAATTATTTCTAGTAATATTTATTACTACTAAATACTGTCTTCAGATTCATGTAAGTAGACTAGAAAAGGTTCATTCCGGATCGTGCAGGTTTTACAAGCCATAAGGAATGCAAGGGGGAGAGGATTTTCTGATGTATTGTACCTTGATTCTGTAAATAAGAGATACATTGAAGAGGTCTCTTCCTGTAACATTTTCCTTGTGAAGGTACTTTCATATTCCAACTTCTATTACATTGTTTTTCCACACAACAGAAAATCAACTTCTGATTCTTCCGTCCCGGGGAAGGGCAGGACCACAAGGCTCTATTGTACGCACCCTTACCCTGCATTTTTGCAATAGGCTGTTTCCACCCGTCACTTCCTGGTCACATGGCAGCAACTTTACTAGTTATATAAAACTGATTTTAAATGTTTTAACCTTCTCAGGGAAAAGTGATTTCAACTCCAGTAGCATTTGGAACCATTCTTGAAGGAGTGACAAGAAAAAGCATCATGGACATTGCAACTGATCTTGGATACCAGGTATTGTCCACTTGTTACTCCATGGTTTAACCAACTAATAAACTTTTAATAAAACATAATCACAAGAGGAGCTTTGAATTAAGGGTCAGCCAACTTTGTTCAGGTTGAAGAACGTTTAATCGAAGCTGATGAATTGATTAGTGCCGATGAAGTCTTCTGCACAGGCACTGCAGTTGGTGTTGCTCCCGTAGGTAGTATTACTTATAAAGGCAAAAGGTAAGACACTTCGTATAGAAACCAACATCATTTTCTCATCTTGCTCCACCTTTCTCTTATGACAAGTTTATGCTGAGTGAAAAGATGGTAAATGAGAGTAAGTAGAGTATTTTAAAACATATGCAAAAATTTAGGGTTGTTCCATGTTACTTCTTTGCAACTTCTTTTCCATGTTCCTTCAATAATGCCACACTGAAGGCGGGTCTAGCTATAACGGATCCCCTGGTTCAACTGAACCTATAGCTTTCTAATGGAATAATCTACATATAAAAAGTGAAATATAAACAAATAATAAAATCACACTCAATTTATTGGTTTTTTGTTTAATTATTGGTTTTTCCACTGCAGGATTGAGTTTAAAATAAGCTCGGAGTTGACATGTAAGCAACTTTATTCGAGACTCGTAGGGATACAAAAAGGGCTACTCGAGGACAAGAGGGATTGGATCGTTGAAATCGAATGATTCCTTTTTTTCTCTTTTTTTCTTTTCTTTTTATCTCTTTGCAAAGAATATAGATATGTAAAATGATAATTGGCAATGTACAAATCGTTTGTGAACTATGAAACTAGAAGTTATCATAGTATTAAGTAAAATTATTGCCATTACCAATTCAATCTAATTCACAACCCCCAATACATTTTTAAGTCGTGGGCGAGCTGATATCACTGCTGAGCGTGTGCCCTATGTTTTTTTTATAGCAAATCCACTAGGCAAGGTGCCTAGGGCTATATATATATATATATATATATATATATATATATATATATATATATATATATATATATATATATAT